GCACACCTTTAATCCCAGCACTCAGGAGGCAGAGGCAGGCGGATATCTGTGAGTTCGAGGCTGGGCTGGACTGACAGCCTCCAAAACAATACAGAGAAACCCTGTCTCATAAAACAAAAAAAAGTACAGATCGGTGAGATCAATATCAGACTCTTAATCATCTTCAAAAATTGCTAGGAGAGATTTCCCAGCTATAGACTATTATTGGAGTAGAAGGTCATGATTGAAAAAAATCTAAAGAAGACACTAAAAGTAGACAGGGACTTAAATAGTCCAAGAATATTATCATCTGAAGCTGAGAAGGAATTAAAATGGGTAGAAAAAAGAATACTAGAGGCACATGTGGACCATGTGGATCCAAGGCTAAATTGTATTCTGCTAATATTATCATCTAGGGAATACCCTTCAGGGATTTTGATGCAGAGGAAAGATACCGTATTAGAATGGATATTTCTACCACATAAACAGAATAGAAAATTAGAAAAATGTATATAGAAATGATTCCTGATATAATATTAAAAGGAAAATTAAGGCTTCATCAACTGACAGGAATGGACTCAGCAGAAATCATAGTACCTTTAACTAATGAGTTAATTTCCTCCTTATGGAAAGAAAATGAATATTGGCAATGAGCTTGCAGTAACTTTTTGGGAATGATTAGCAACAATTATCCCCAAAATGAGAGAATAAAATTCATAAAGAAAACCTTAGGATCACCTCACGCTTTGTAAGGAAAACATCAATCTCTGGAGTCCCTACATTCTACACTGATGCAAACAAATCAGATAAGGCAGGATATAGTCAGGAGAAATAAGTAAAATGGTTCAAAGCCCTTATAACTCTCTACAAAAGGCAGAATTATATGCCATTCTCATGGTACTTATGTATCTATTGTTCATTGTTGCTCTTGCCGATAGTAGGTTTTAATTTGTGTATGTTTATTTTTCCTTTTCTTGGAGTATACTTGACCTTCTTTAGACTAAAAGGGGGAATAGTAGGCATCTGGTCTGTGGACCTGAAACGGAAGCCACACTGGTGTGGCTTCAGGAGATGGAAGCAGAAAGAGTGGAGCTTGAGACATGGCTTTCCTTTGCGTGCTCTTTCTGTTGGGTCAGCAGATCTGGTAGGAAGAGCAGGGAAACACTCCAGTGGTTCTTTGTATTTTTTCTGTGTAATTGTCCCCAGTAAACACCCATTTATCATTTATCTTGGGTCTAGTGATATATTTACATCCATGCCTTCAGATATGGGTCTATTTTCATTCTTCTGAATGTAGTCTCCAGTTTGACCAGGACCATTTGTTGAAGATGCTGCCCTTTCTTCTTTGTCAAAAGTCAGGTATCCGTAGCTGTGTGAAAGTATGCCTGGGTCATCAAGTCAATTCCATTGATCAATGTATCTGTTTTCATGCTGACACAATGCTGTTTTTGTTATTACAGCTCTGTAATACAACTTGAAATTAGAGATGGTGGTTTCTCTGACAATTATTTTATTATTCAGAATTGTTTTAGCCATTCTGAATTTTGTATTTCTATGTGAAATTGAAGATTGTTTTTCAATTTCTGTGAAGAATTATGTTGGAATTATGATCGGGATTGCACTGAATCTGTAGACTGCTATTAGTAGAAAGGCTATTTATAGAATATTAATTCAGCTGATCCATTAGCATGGGAAATCTTTCTAATTTCTGATGTCTTCTTCAATTCCTTTCCTCAGTTTCTCAAAGTTTTTATTACGCAAAACTTTCACTTGCTTGGCTAAAGTTATCCCATGAAATTGTGAAATTTCTTTCATGTACATTTGTATGTCAATTATTGTTGTCATTATGCAGGCCTTATTCAGTCAACCATATTGTTGAGTTTTAATGGATGCAGCATCCCTGTCACCTCTAGAAGACACTATCTCACTATTCCTCTAATTCTTGCAATCTCTCCACAACATCTCTCTTGATATTTACTGAGCTTTATAGAATATAATAATCTTTTTCATTTTATACATATACATATGTATATATGGATTTTTTGCCTGCATGTATGTTTGTGTGCTACATATATACAGTGCCCATGGAGACCAGAAGAGAGCATCAGATTCTCTGGAACTGGAGCTCCAATTGCTTGTAAGCCTCCTCATAGATGCTGAGAATCAAACCCAGGTTGTCAGGAAGAGCTCTTTACAGCTGAAATTTCTCCCCAGCCTCAAAAATGATGGTTCTTAAACTTGCCCTAAGTGTGTGCGTTCACACACGTGTGTGTATGTGTGTGTGTGTGTGTGTATTGATATATTATGGTATATGTAAAGTCAATTTAAACTAAATGGAAGTCCTAAAGGTAAGATCACAACTATAAAACCCTGGAGATCACAGAGGGAAATCTCCTGAACATTGACAGTGTGTTTTGGGTTAGCATATGAAATCTTGGGATTATAAAACAAGTAAATGAGTATTTTTAAATGGTATTACATCAGAAAAAAACTTCTGAAATGAAAAAATAAATAATTAACAAACCTAAACAGCCTCCTACAGACTAGGACATTTACTTGAAAACCATGCAACTAATGGAAAGGTAATGTCCCAAATGTATGACTAACTCTTAAAAATAGACAAAAGTCATTACTCCATAGAAAACTTTAGACATTTTCCAGCAAACATATGAAATCTGTTCACTGTTAATAATCACTTGGAAATACACATATTGAAACCACTCTTTGGTATTAGCTAGATTCTATAGGATGGATGTTTATGAAAAGGTAAGTGTTATTGATAGTATGGAAAAGTGGAAACAACTACCCTGTAACTGGGATTGTAGATTGGTATAGACATGAGGCATAATAATAGAGTGATTCCTTAAGAAATACAAAATGAGGCTGGAGAGATGGCTTAGTGGTTAAGAGCACTTGCTACTCTTCCAGAGGGCCTGGGTTTGATTTCCATCACCTACATAGTGACCCACAAGCATCTGTAATTCCAGTTCTAGAGTATGTGATGCCTTCTTTTGTCCTCTATGGGCACTAGGCACATACATGGTACACAGACATACATGCAGACAAAACATTAATATATATATATATTTGGAAAGAATCACTTTAACTTAAAACACATACACACACACACACACAGAAAGAGAGAGAGAGAGAGAGAGAGAGAGAGAGAGAGAGAGAGAGAGAGAGAGAGAGAGAGAATACATAACTTCTGGGTTTGATGAAATTACCAACATCTCAAGATGTCTACAATCATGTTCTCTGTATTTAGTTCATCATAGTCAACACAAGCCTAATACCCACCAATGGTCTGGTCTAGTGGATAAAGAAATTGTTATGTGTATGTGTAATGACTGAGTCTCAGAAAAAAGACATTGCTGTATCCTATTGTATGATAAGCTATAAGTGCATCATAGTAAGTGAAATAAATTAGAAAGAAAAATATTACATTAACTGTTTATTCATAATTTTTAAAGTTAATGCTGTGTAGTTGTTTCTTGTTAATTGTAAGATTCCTTATTGGACAAAAATGGAAAGCTCACTGAACTTATAAAGCTCTTAGGACTCAGAGGCTCATGAAACTTATATGACTCATAAGTCCACTGTCCAAGATTGAAGAAACAGCAATTTCTCAGGAAAAGGAGACTTTTCAGTCGTATATATGCCTACATATTACACAGGGGACTCCAAGAGTATAACTCTTATCAGTTGACAAGCATGCTTGAGTGAGACTCTCCAATGATGCAGTTCCCCTGGAGTCACCCATACTTTTATAATTAACTCCAACAAAACTACTGGTTCACTAAGTTAGACTTGGATAGAATTCTTCTTTGGTTTATCATTGATTTCTTTGTGGAGGCAAATAGAAATAGGCTTACAAGGAAAAGTTCACACAATTATTAAATATGTAGAAAACAAAATAAAGCCTATGATGTGTAGTGAACTGAGAAGAAATGGGGAGATGTGGATTTAAAGAATACAACATTGTTGCTATCTAAGCTGGACAAGTCTAGATATCCAATTACAAAATACAGTTAATGAAATTTTATTGTATGAAATACTTGTGTTCAGTAAGTAATTGTAGGGAGAAATCTACATACCCGTAGCACTGACCACACCCATATAGGTGTACTCACAGGTATGTAGAATGTACAGGGGATAAAAGAGCTAGTGGGAGGAGACGCTCTCTCTTTGGGTTCTGGTTGTGGGCCGGAGAGCAGCATGCGGACCTTTGGTTCTCGACTTTCTTGGCTTCTCATGTAAGTGATTTCTCCCTCAATAAAATATCACAGGACATTCCTATTTTGTGTAGCTTAACATTTCCTCATTAAGTAATCATTAAGAAGTAGATCTTCTTTAATCCAAAAAGAGATTAAAAGCATCATGTAAGATAACAGATAAGTTAATTTGCTTCAGGTACTGGTGGCCTTACTTCACCCATGGAACCCATACTGTCCTTTGATAAACCTTAAACATATGCAATTATTTTTATTTTAAAAGCTAACAAACTAAATATAAAACAAAACTAGAAAAAGAAAAGGGAAAGGTTAAGTTGATATTCATTGCTTGTGGAAAAAGTCACCCCTAACTACTCTATCACAGTAGAGAGACTTGGGAATCTCTAACTAACTCTGGAGTGGCTTAGGGATCCATGCTCTCTGATGACCAATTAGCTACTGTCCTGAATGAGAAGATCCTGAGGGGTTTAGGTTTCCATGGAGATACAATTTCCTTCTCACAAGACAAGATTTGTGCAAAGCCATGAATGGCTGTGTGCCCAGATATACTAGTGGCTTCTTCAGTTTTCTAGAACATGAAATATGCTTCCACTAATACAATTGAATTGCTATGTTCTCTGCAAGATAAATAATAAAATATAATAACCACAAAACAATTTTATTGAATTCTATTCTGTGTCCAAATAAATGCTTTTTTCTATAGATTGTACAAACACTTGAATTATATAGGCCTTGATAAACAAAACACGAGAAAAATACATTTCTTTGTTACAATATTGGCTAGTGCCTCAAGTGAATAAATATAAAATACAGAATCTTAGGTAGCAGCTAGCTGTATAAGATTTGTAGCAAAATAGGACATAGTCAAATAATAAATTTATGTTTAGTATCTGGGCAACCTGAAAATAACAATACAAAATAATGATCTAGTATTTGGTCTCTTGGTAAGTATAGCTAATATGAAGGGAGAATTTGCCTATATTCCACACTGAGATAATTAAATGTAGTAACACAGAATGTTCTGTAAGCACAGGCCTTGAGTTATGTTAGGAGTTATAGAAACAAGAACAGTTAAAGATTAGTTAACTCTGTAAAGCATACTATTTGGTCTTTTACCTAAGAATAGGTAATTAAGAAGAATGTAGAACTTTGGGAAGAATCAGTCAGACAAAACAGTGGTGGATACTAATTAAGCTCATGTTTGATTTCCTCTCCAATTTCTTCTCTTTCATGAACATTATCATCTTCCCAGCACCAAGCATCATTTCTGAGTTGCACTGTACAGCTGAGGAAGAAGAAATGCCCCTCACCCCAACTTGCAGAATGCCTCCCTAGTGTTTGTTTGTATGTGACTTGAAGTAGAAAAGCAACTTTCATATCTGGCCTCTGCAACACTTCATAATATAGCACTAATCATTATTTTCTTATGTTCTCCAGATATCATAGGACATCCACTTCAGTAGACTTTAAAAAGAGGTGCTGTGATATGAAGGGACATAGGCAGGGTAATGGGGATTAGAAACATAGGCATTGCTACAAGACTTTGTCATAGGGAAGTCTGCATAGCCCCATCCTAGAAATCTGGAAGACGCTGCCACAAGAACAATGTTTCCTTGTCCCCAGGCTTACTTAGAAACAGTCTCCACTTTGCACAAGAGGAGACAATATCCCATTTCCTAAGTACCATGGTACAAACCAGTTCTTACTCCCTTTGGCATATGGATTATAGACACTTAACCACAAAACTTTTCAAAAGATGCTCCCACTTCCAACTTCAAACAGGGAAGCATCAAACCCACAGGGTCTGTTGAAGCTTATTTTGTACTAACCAATTACTTTGCAAGGACAGGAAGAGACTGTAACCCAAGAGCTGTTAAACTAAATTGTACTGATTATCCTTTGCTCTTCTATTCTGAGTCCTTGCCTCTCCCTAGCACCTTCCACAGAGCCCCCTTCACATCCTTGTTCCTCAGGGTATAAATCAGAGGGTTGAGCATGGGAGTGATGATAGTATAAAAAAGGGCCACAAACTTCCCCTTGCTCTCAGAATAGCTGCCCTTGGGTTGTAAGTATGTGTAGATGGCTGCACCATAAAACATAGACACAACCACAAGGTGGGACCCACAAGTCCCCAGAGCCTTTTTGCATCCTGCCATTGACTTGGTCTTCAGCACTGCATGAGCAATGTTTGCATAGGAGCCCAGAATTAGTGTTACAGGAAATATCAATATTACAACACGGGCCACAAACATTTTGGCTTCTGTTCCTTCTGTGTCCTCACAGGCCAACTTCAAGAGAATAGGCATCTCACAGAAGAAGTGGTTCAGCTGGTGTCCACAGAGAGGCATCGTCATCATCAGGCTTGTCTGAATCAGAGAGTTCATGAAGCCTCCTACCCAGGAAGTAATAGCTAGTGAGAGGCAGAGAAGGGGGTTCATGATGGTCGTGTAGTGCAGGGGACGACACACAGCAGCATAGCGGTCAAAGGCCATCACCACCAGGAGCACACTCTCTGTGGAGGCCAGGGCAAGGAAAAGGAAGAGCTGGGCCACACACCCTCCATAGCTGATGGTTCTGTCATATCCCTGGAGGTTGACCAGAAGCTGGGGCACAATGCTGGTTGTGTAGCAGAGATCCAGGAAGGAGAGGTGGCAGAGGAAGAAATACATTGGTGTTTGAAGGCAAACATCCAGTTGTGAAAGGATAATGATGGTAGAATTTCCAAAGAGAGTTAGGGAGTAGAAAATGGAAATGAAGACAGAAAGAATGAGTTCTAGTTGAGGAAAATCAGAGAAGCCCACCAAGACAAAATCCTGTCTAAAACTGGTGTTGAAACTGCCCATAGCCTTTCATGTGCCCAAATAACAGGAGACAATTCAGTATCTGCTATGAAAAGCATGGATTAGAACATCATTCCAGCCAGTCCTTAAACATTCCAAAATCAAGCTTTTTGTTCTCTATTTTGCTACTTCAGTTTTATCCAGTTCAGTTCTTACTCGTTTCCTCTTCAGACTGGAAATCATGGGAGCAGTAGTATTATCTTTTGTTTGACCTATAACCCTGCTCCGTATGTGTCCTGAACTTCAGCTCCCTCAAAACCATGGATACATCACTGTCTGATAGCAGAAATGGCATCTTTCCTACCTTCCCATCATAATGTTAACATCTAACCCAGTAACAGGTAATACCAGAGTTTCTTTGAAAAATATAAAGAGTCAAATTCAGCATTATTATTCTCTCTTGGTCTCTTTGGCTCCTCTTCAGTCCAATTGGCAGAGTGTTTCATGTAGACGAAGACCCAGGACTAACCAGGATGAGACCACACTTTTGTCCCTATTGTGCCATTTCCTCAGTGACTGTGACCAGCACTACAAAGCCAGAAGCCCTGATCGTCACCAGCTGTTGATATTTTCTCTTTTAAGTCTGTTGAACTAGAAGGTTAATGAGTCAGCACTGGACCAATGATGCTGGGAAGCCATTTAGACACCATCTTTGATGCTGTTGTGGAAAAGATGGGGAAATGTGAATGAAACATAAAGTATTAATTCAAATGTAGATAAATTAATAAGTCAAAACTCTTTCTTAAACACATTTATTATATCTTTGTGATGATATCAAAGGTGTCATTGTTATATTTTTTGGTTATATTTTTATGTATACTTACAAATGTATAATGTCAAAATTGGCCTGTGTAAGTCCATCATCTTAGAATGGTATGGTTTATTTAGAATCCTTACCAGGTCCCTGTGGATCAACTCTACCGCTGACCAGCTGAACCACCTGTTCAGACATGTTCACTCCACTCACTTCTGTGAGTCTCAGTTTAACTATCATGAAATAGATGAAACACGATGTTAAAAAGTTTGAAGAGTATCATCTATTCTGCAATCTATTAAGAATATGCTACATGAAGTTTTTGAAATATTTTTAAATTACTTAATTTTATTGGCATATATAAATTGTATACATAACTGGGGCCTATGAAATAATTCAACACATACACAGAGTGTACACTCACAGAATCCACCTCCCTTATCAATTTACAGAACCCAGCCTCTCCCCATCCATATTATACCTTCCCAAACTCTAGTGACCAGCATTCTACATGAAAAAGACCATGAAACTCTTGTCTTTCTGGTCCTATAGTATTTGTGTATCTACATCACTAATCTTGGCCATGCAACAGGGTCCCATTTACAAACACAGTGCCTAGAGAATGAACAGAAGTCAACAAGTATTGTTAAATGAGTTAATTAATGAATTCTCCTCCATTAGAAGACATACGTGTCATATAAATGTTTGTTTCCAGTATGACACAAAGGGAATAAACACACATTGTTTCTAAGTGGGTGGAATAAAATTTTGCTGTTTTAACTATTCCTATTCATATGTTATCAACAATGTTGTACATAATTATAGCTACCGTGATATTGATATGTTTATAAATGAATCAAAGTTTAGAAACCCAGTAAAGTGATGATTTGGCTTAAGATAATATTAAACAGTAAAAATTGAACCTAGCTTCAAATCTTGAAACAAAAGACTCAACTTGAAAACCTGAAGTTTATGTATTAAAAAACTAGATGGCCTGGGAATATATCTACCAGAGACTCAACACAGGCCAGCAGTGCCCTCTGACTGCTGAATTTTAGCAAATGGAAGCTCAGACTGAACAAAAATCTCATCAGTGCCTCCTTTTACAGGTATATGGAAACCTGGAAGTCATTTCCTCAGCCTCTGGTGTCATCTGTTCCTTGATTCTCTGGCAGAGACTCTCAAACCACTACTTAAGTGATGGCAACCTCTCTCCACTTGTCATCATCTGTAGCCTTTTGTTCCTACGAGGCCATGAGTTCCCTGCTTCTCTTGATGCATCTATTCCTTGGCCCGTTGTTTCAATCATTTTCTTATTAATATCCTTAAACCTATTAAAGTGATCTACCCGATTCTGTATGAATGGAATTTTTATATTTTCCATCACTAAAATCAGGCTGATAAATTCTGAAGAAAAAAATAATTCAAGTGCCTTAAGCAACACTACTAAAAATTCATATTCTTGCTAATATATGTCTTACCTCTCCTTCTCATCTGGCTAGTTGTCTACAGAAATTATCTATTATCAAGTCTGTACAATTTTTAAAATAACCTTTCTCCCTCCAGTTCCTGTTATCACCCTCTTCTGGGTCTCATCCTTATAGCATTCAACATGCCGAGTAACTGTGCTTTTCTGTTGAATCTTTTCCCCTCCCTTCCTGGATGCCTTCTTCCTTCCCTGCATCCCCCATCATGGTCTCCTCTACCTATACATTGCTGATCCTCTTCTAATACCATGCTATAAACTATTTCTTTAAAATTCACCCATTTCAGGGCTTGAGTCACACTTGAGTTGGTAACACCCAAGTATGTCTCCATCCTATCTGTTGTCTGCTTTTAAGACTTCCACACTTCTTCTAGTTCAATCTTTTTATGTATTCCTGATGTTTTGATAGTTTGGGGTCTGATTGACCATAAAGGGACTTCCCCTTTTAGGTACAGAAATTCTCGCAGAAAGCAAAGCACTTTCTTGTAAGAAACATCTCATGAAAACCACCGGTCTAGAGTCAACATTCCTTGTAGTTCCTTTGCTGGGGTCTAACATGGCAGCTTCTACCCTCTCTAACACAAGACCAGAAAATTAGTCATATCATAAAGCATGCTGAAATTGTTTTTATAAAACACAGTATTTGTACACAGCCTTGTAGTCTGTGGCTTTGTCTGTATTTTTTTCAACTTTCCTTTTTTCTAACAAGCTCTGGAATTTCACTATGAGGACCCAAATGCCCTATGCCTCTTCCTTTTGAGAACTGTTAAGCAATGAGCTACTGATCAAATTCCAGTTATCTCCTTAACAGAAGTCTCACTTTGCATGAACGATAGCAAAGCCTTTGTGTTAGTTGACACCTCCTTGCCCATCATTTTCACTTGGAAGCCCTCTGGACACCAGCACATTCAACACGCAACTCATCCTTGATGCTTATAAATGCTTCTTTTGCTGTGTGCCTCATCTCAGGGAAGCACATCCTAGCTATCCTGGTCACCTGACCAGAAATTTAGTCACCAGCCTCCACACTGACACTTTCTTTGAGCACACTCTGCGCACCACTTCATCTACAATAACATTTCTCGATAAGAGATGAAGCCATCTATTTAGGAAGATTCCCTGATGTGTCCAAACATTTCTGTTGCTTGCTGAGGCCAGGAGTGGTGCTGTGCCTTTTGCACATAGCCCATCATCACTACCACAGACACACGAATTACCAAGTCCCCATTACGTGAAGGTAATGTCTCACTTCTTGGGAGAATTCTTTTCTATGTTTGTGTGAACTGAAAACTCCTTGCTGTATGGCCATATGGACACTTCATCTTCTCACATATTGCTTACCATCCTTGACATTAATTTGTGACCTTTAGTTGCATCATGCCAGGGTTTGTGAGCAACAGGACCATGTCTGTCTTGTTCTTAGAACAAAGATGTGAGAATGTCCTTTGTGAGAAACAGGCGTTTTAAATTACATTTTTAGATTCTAAAACCAAGTCCAAATGCATAGGCTTGATGGTTTTTAGTCACTGTGCTATGAGAAACTTCCCTCTGTTCTTCTCCAAAGCTAAAACTTGGACTACCAGGGGTAAAGCAGAACACAAGAGCATGCAGGAGAAAGGAAAACAGACTAAAGATAGACTGCCTGGAAAGGAACCTGGCTTCTGCCTACTCCAAAGCTTCCTGCTCATCCAGAGTCTGAAACTTTAACTTTCATTATATTGTAAAATGTTGCAGCATTCTCTCAGCAAGTTAGGGTAGCATTGTACACAGGTGTGACACTCCAGATTTTCTCCTTTTAAACTATCTTTTCAAAACTTAGCATGCTTGTAATCCCCTTGACTAGTTTTATGTTTACATATTTGACACAGTTGACTGCTGACTGTATGCATGTATATGTGTATAGGACTATTTATGATCTCTATAATTAATAAAATTCTTGAGAGCAAAAGTCCCCATTTTTAATTTTTTTACAATTTCTTCATGCCATTGTAATACATCACTGATTTTTAACTAAATGGAGCCACATCCAAGTCAGAAATGACTGGCATAGGAGATTCTAAATCATCCTCATTGTCTTCAAGAATCGTCCTTAAATAAATCAGTTTTTAGTAGCATGGGTTCTCACCTTTTATGTCCTTTCAAAAGTGTTTCCTCATGGTGTGTTTTTAATACATTTTAAATTAAGATATGATTGTATTATTTTCACCTGTTCTTTACCCCCTCAAGACCCTCCCAAATCCTTCTCCCAACTCATATAGTGTCTGCCACATTCTCAAATTGACAGCGTCTTCTCTGATTATTATTGTGATATATATTTCTCTGTCTCTTTTTATCTGAATGGACAATTTTTCCTTAGCTTACAGAAGACTCTTCTTACCATGGAACTTTAATTAAGCACCAGTGCATTCTTCTACCCATTCTCCACCATAGCCTCCTCCTCCATAGACTCAATTGTTGCTTACTCAGCCCTCCTTGGCATGCTAAAATCACCCAATATCTCATTCTATCCCAGATCTTTCTTATGTGAGTTTCAGGATTCCATCACATTTCTGACAGGAGCAATCGACATTTTCTAGAATGGAGTCCGCTCATTTGACATCCAAAAGATGAATGAACAAATCCACACTGTGTTTTCACACCGATTCCTCATGTAGAACTTTGTCTTTTCTCATATCTCCGTCCTTGTCCACTCCAAGAAGTCTTCCTTGATATGTCAACAGCTCTGGCTTTGCCTCTAGTCTGTCTCCTAGTTATGATGTATGTACTTCATTTTACATGCTATTGCCTTGGCATCACAG